AGAAACAGCCCTGTTTATCTCCACACAAAAACCCCACCAGAGAGTGACAAAAGACACTATTGCACGTTGGGTGAAGGCTATCCTGACTTTTTCTGGAGTGGATACATCAGTGTTTAAGCCACACAGCATCAGAGCAGCCTCGACTAGTGCTGCTGCTGCCAAGATTCCAGAACAATACTCAACACTGCAGGGTGGAGTAATGAATGTACTTTTAGGAAGTACTATGACAAACCAGTAACAGAGACTGGATGTGAATTTGGGGAGGCTATTTTGCAAGCTAACACTTAAACAGTGTTAAATGTCATCTAGTAAAACTCTAAATTAGTGTGAGAAGATTTGTAATATGTATCTATGGATATTTTGTTAGTAAACTTGAGAGTAGCATAAATTTCTGTCTGTTTTCTATTATTTTCACAAAATATGGCGGAAGTGTAATAAATGCATACCTTACTCTAAACATCTCACTAAATTCTGAGGTTCTGCTTGGGTTGGTGGAATTTACAGTTAAGCGAGACTTACCTGTAAGGCGATGGTTGACTATAATTCCACCAACCTAAGCAGAACTGAGGGATTACGTGCTCACCCTTTCTCCCACCCATGGATCTTAAGGTATACATTTATTGCTAAAGACTGATTATTTTACGCATGCGCACATCTCACGTAATCCCTCAGTTCTGCTTAGGTTGGTGGAATTATAGTCAACCATCGCCTTACAGGTAAGTCTCGCTTAACTGTAAATCAATCAATGTATTGGCATACGTACATAAACACTACCTTTTGACAAATCCGCTGTGCAAGATAAAAGTAATTAATCAATCAGCATGTTATCGGTTAATCCTTTGACCGATGTTTATAATGTTGAGTATGTACTCCAGACACAAGTAATGCCAAATGGGAACCTTTGTCGGGTAATCTAAGTGGTGTTACCACTAATTATACCTGTTATAAATTCATTAACTGACCATCAAGAAAATGATGACAAATAACATGCGTAGGTTTATACCACCTAACACGGGTTACAACAATGGAGTATTAATTGCTGTATTGCAGAACTTCATTGTTGCATAAGAAATACATACTATAAGCATTTGCTGTGTGCTGAACCTGTATGCACCTATTTACCTAAGAAAATTTTCAGATTCTTCTAGCAATGGCAAAGTAGGGTTGTTTAGTTTACAGATTCAAATAAATCAAATGTCAATTTTTAATAACATACGTAATAGACGTCATATTTTTACATGACATGATTAAATATCGAGGTAAAAAAACACAGAAATGGGATCAATTATGATCAGTCATTATACGATCCAGGCATTAGAAATCCTGAAAAAGCCCACACTGCTTTGATACTTTATTACAATCAGACAAGAACTACCGGGGATATTTTCAAATAACTGCATCTGATAGGCATCCACCCTTCTTAACCTGTTTAGGTTGAAGAAATTAACCGTGATGAGCGAGGCTGATCATCGTTTTCACTATCACTAGCGTCTGGCTCGAACAAATAAGGCCTCGCGACACCAAGCGATTTTGACAGAATCGTCTATGAAAACAAGTTGTAACTCGGAAACTAGGCAAAGCAGGAGACAAACTTAAATGAAAGTAGATTGAAAGAACATATAGCTTCCATTTTTCACAACAGTTGTCACGATTTCAGGATATACAAAGCTGTAAACAAGATAATTTACCCCCTGAAATGTACATGAATTCTGCATCGGCCCTCATAGCTAGTCTTCACATGACGTCACAGAGACGCGCCGCTCTGATTGGTTGAAATTTCGTTTGCGGGTGAGAATTGTGCACTGTTGTCAAAAGGTCGATTTAAGTAAATTAAAAATCGAAATAAGTAGTTTTAACGACAGGTTTTTATTTTTAACGATGCCAAATAGTGATTTATGTATTTGTACCCCCCTAGAGTATATGTGATCTTTACGTTTTGGTAAAATCTAAGCACTTTAGATATTTACATACTTACCTCTTATCATCTTATGCATACTTGCCTTACTTTCCGAAAACAGACTGCAGAAGTCGAGATCAAAAGCTTGCTAACCTATTACTCGCGAAGGTGGTTCGATTGAAGACATCCGGGTGACCGGTAAGGTCACGGCAGTCCATCACGTGGCTACGGGAAAAGTCATTCCTTTCGTATAGAACGAAGGGTAAAACGATGATAGCAGTGTGAGTGTGTGTGTGTGTGTGTGTGTGTGTCCGGTGGGCTTCAGACTTGATGATAAGAGGCAAGTATGTAAATATCTAAAATACCTAGATTTTACCAAATTTTAAACTTACCTCTTATCATCTTATGCATCTTATCCGACAGCACTGGAAGGAGGGTTGTTCTAACCGCTGTTCACCCAGAAAGACCAGCGGATCAGACGTATGGAACAGTGAATGCTTGGGGGTCTTCAAGCAAAACAAAGACTATGAAAGTGAAGCAAGTAAAGGGAACAATAGGTGAGGCACTATCAGGATTGTCCCTATACATAGGTCACAACACTCAAAAGGAAGAGAACACCGCCTCGTACCTTAGTGAGTAGAAGGATGCGTCAGCTGTTGAGCGACCACAAGAGGTCAAAAACTCTGAAGTCCTTCAACATCATCGACTGCCACGTCTCGAAGATAATGGCTGGCGAAAACAGTGTTAGACTTCCCCAAACAGCCCTCCATAATCGTAGGAATTGAACAATTCCTATGAAGAGCCATTGTGGAAGCCAAAGCACGAATTTCATGAGGGTTATTCGCCTTGGGATGAGGTAACCCGGCCGCCTCGTAGGCATTGATGATTGTCGTCCGTAACCAGAGGGCCACAATGTTCCTGTTGACCTCCCCCTTGGAGCCTGCCGACAGAGGGATGAATAAACGTTTCCTCGCCCTCCGTCTGGGAGACGATCTGGAAATGTACTCTCTCAAAGCTCTCACTGGACAAAGGGAGAGTTCGTCTGTCTCCTCATCCCCTACCACAGAGGAGAGAGGAGGGATGGTGAATCTCCGGTCATCCGATGGTGGTTGTCCCGGTAACTGATTCTTAGCCACGAGTCCCATAAGAGACCTAAATTGACAGCACCATGACGAGACTGCTCAAAGTGGATTCTCGTGACGTCTAGGGCGTGAATCTCACTAACCCTCGCAGCTGTGGCCAATGCTAAAAGAAAGACTGCCTTTCTGGATAACAGGTCAAAAGACGTAAAGGCTCATACGGGGCGCCTCATAAGTGTTGCAGGACGACGTTGAGGTCCCAAGCCGGCAGACGAAACTTCACCTTCTGGTCCTCAAGCTTGAAGGCTTTCAACATAGCCTGCAACTCGGGGATCTTGGACACCCGCTCATTTGTTTTCACCGCTAAAACAGAGTTGATGGCCGAGAGGTAAGTTCGCGATGGTGTGTCCTTTGAGATGACGAGAATCTGCAGATGTCATCATAAAGTCCCCTCGTCGAAATCCGATGGGATTGTGAGATGATTCTTGACGCACCATCCGAATAACCTTTAGCCCTCAAGGTCCTCTGCAGATGACCCAAACGCAAAGATTGAACCTCTCCGGGTCTTGGTGAAGTTGCCTGCTGTGAGGGTGCTGCAGAAGATTTCTCTACCTGGGCAGACGAATTGGGTTTGCGTTGGCGAGACGCCTTAGTTCAGGGAACCAATCCCTCGCAGGCCACTAAGGCTCGCCCAAAGGCAGTTTCAGTCGAGTGGTTTGTCTTATCGTTGCAACGACCTCTGTTAGGAGTACTGGAGGCAGGATGGCATAGGCATCGAGATTTTCCCAAGATAGAGACAGGGCGTCTACTGCCCAAGCGGCTGGATCCGGGACAGGAGACACATAGACCGGAAGTTGATTGTTCTGGCTCGTGGCGAACAAGTCTAACAAGATCGAAAGCCTCCAGATGAAGCATCCATTCTGTGGGTGATGGTTTGCTGGGTCTGGAGAGCGCGTCTGCCAGAACATTCTTGCAACCGGGAATGTTTCTTGCTCGAACTGTGATTTGAGCTCAATCCTGAATCTCGAATAACTGGAACATCTGATCGAGGACGCCATGAGCCAGTCGTCCACTGATTGTGTATCACCCAAACCACTGTCTCGTCCGATGCAATGAGAAGGTTGGATCCTGCGAGGTGATTCCACCAATGAGACACTGCGAGGATCACTGCTTGAAGTTCCAAGCTGTTGATGTGCCACACTTGTTGCTCTGCTGACCACAGCCCCAAGACTGTGTGGCCGCTTAGGTGTGCTCCCCAACCCTGCAGTGAGGCATCCACAAAGAGTTCCATGTCGGGGGAGAATTCGCTCAAACAGACTCCATCCCAGACGTTCAACGGCCGAGTCCACCAGCGAAGGTACTGGTGCAGATGCAACGGCAGTGGAATGCTGGTTCTGAGATCGTCGGCTTCTATGAATGGTTTCAAAAACCTTTGGATAGGTCGAAGCATGAGCCTCCCCCAGATCGTGAGGTCCTGTACCGATGTGAATAGACCTAGAATGGTTTGCCAATCTCACAACTTGAGAACCTGGGTCAAACCCTTGTGGATGAAGGCCAATATCTTCACCCACCTGTCGGGGGGGGGGGGGGGAAGGAGGAAAGAAAAGAAAAGCCTTCCTATGAAGGTGAGTCTCCGAGAAGACTCCTGTCGCGATGCGTGTGAACAGCCTTACCGGTCACCCGGATGTCTTCAATCAAACCACCGTCGCAAGTAATAGGTTAGCAAGCTTTCCATCTAGACTTCTGCAGTCTGTTTTTGGAGAGTAAGACAAGTATGCATAAGATGATAAGGGGTAAGTAAAAAATTTGTTGTTTAACAACACATTCAGCAACTATATGACAGTAGTCTGTAAATAATTGGGTCTGACAATAATCCAGACAATGCAGTGAGTGACATCATGAACATCTAGCTATGCCGACGTCAGAAGTCACCCGTCCTACAAAGCAACAGCACTATAATTAAGTCACTACATTTAGCTAGCAATAGGCTCCGGATCCTCATACAACAAACAGTAGTCACAAGGTTCATGTACAGGGTGCTTTAGAACACAAGAACATGGTCACCAGTTATCAACAAAATCAAAAATCAAAAAGAAAAATGTCACATATATCAATTAGAGACCAAAACTACACATACATTCCAAGAGCTGAAATAGCAAAGCAACATACGACCAACCCAGTCCAGAAGGAATGCCAGCCACATTACATCTAAAACTGTTGTCAACCTGAGCAGCAGCTCTTAGCTGAAGTCCTCAAGTCATACCTACAACCACCATGAGGATACAAAGACAAAGCTGCTGTCATCATGGACATAGCTGAAAATCCAACATAAGTGATTCCATCACCTTTGTCCACAAGTGTTTAGCAATGACAATTGACATATAAGAGTTAGCCTTTTCAGCCATCATACCTCTGCTAGAAGTCTCCAGATCCAATAGATTTGACACATCCCTCTCCATGGACAGCTCACAGTTAACCACCTCCTGTTTCACCATCTCATACTTCACATGGAATGGCAAGATCTACCAGCAGATTCATGGCCTGAATCAATCAAGCATCAACTGATCATAATTAGTGCACTATTTTGCCTTTATTTTCCAGTAAATGAATGTATGACTTGATCTGATATTTCAAGAGTGTTAGTCGATAAACAGTTGCATAATGATATCACATAAAAATAACAAGCAAGATTTGATGTAAAATTATGGGCACTCTCAATCAATAATCAAATTGGTTGAGGTAAACAAATCAACCAGCATGACTATTTATAGATAGGTTTAAAATACACTAAAATCCCTTCCTGATCCTAATCTGATCTGTATTCTAGTAATTTCATATCTTAATGTCCTGGTACATAATGGTGTTACATCAGCCCATGTTCAGCCCAAGACTTCCACCTGGTTGAACCAGTCTGAATGTCCAGATACAGGATTGTGTTACACAAGCTCATATTTAACCCCACGCTTCCTCCTGTGTGAACCGGTCTGGAAGGAAGACAAACTCTGAGTTGGGTGCCATTTTCTCACAGCTGACATCCTCTTTCGGCTGCCATCTGCACACATAGACCACTCTGAAACAATGAAATGTATAATCTGCTGGAACATTTTGCACATAAATAGACTCCAGAATTGGAATTTTTAACTATAAATTGTATATTTATATACTTATCTTATCTCACGGTATGCAACTCTCTTGTTCTTCTACGACCCTGTGTGGAAACTTGCTGTAGGCTAAGTTCAATCAAACTTTTTCTGACCTCTGACCCTGACCCACTCCATAGCAGCACCTGTCAATCATCTCAATAAGCGTGCAGATCACTCCGAAGATCAGCCTGCCCTTGTCATTCTCATCTTGGAGCCTCCAGTAATCTGTGATGTGGGGCAGGTCGGGTGGGTACCCATCGCGTGAGATAGGATAAGTATGTAATTTTCTGAATAAAATTGATATTTTATACTTATCCTGACTCATGCTTATTGCTTGTCTCCTTCCTCTTGCGAACGTTAGTGGAACACTTGTATCTTCTATTGAAGCTCCCTTCAATAAAAACAGACGTAAAATCACTACTCACCATGAGTTATCTGTCTGGCCGTTTTGGCGGGAAAAGTGGCGCCACCGCTCCCACATGCTTCACTCTCTCCGAATTATGAGCCCGACACTTTAATTTGCAGGGAAATCCAAAGTGTCTAGTGGGGAGGTTGGGAGGGCTTACCTCATGAGTCAGGATAAGTATAAAATATCAATTTTATTCAGAAAATTACATATTTTTCCTTATCCTGACTCATGCTTATTGCTTGTAGAATCCGTTGGATTTGGTGGTGGGTCAAGCTACTTCTGGATTTCATGTAGTGATTTACGTCTTATATACCCCCCTATGGGAACTTCTTGTTGGCACTGCTATTTTACTGCTAGTCTCTGCTGCTGCTGTAACCCTGTACTTCCAGCTGTCTCTGACGGGGGGACCACAATTGTTAACTTTTGGTCCTGGCTTCTGTTAACATTTTATGTGGATTTTGCGACTCAATCTCTTGATGCAAGCATCAAGTGGAGAAGCAACCCTTTCCTGTACGAGTATCCTTACAAGTACTGGGTCATATCACTTATGCTAGTCTGTCCTTAGACATATAGTGCATATAGACTCTAAAGCTGAACTCTTATGAGTGTAGGCTTTTGCAAGTCATGTGATAAAAGGGCGAGACTTCGTCTCAGCACCTTTGAGGGACTGTCAACTGTTGTGCAACAACCAGCGGGCCGAAATGGTGAATGCCGGAGACGTCCTCGGTGGCGATGTCCCTCAGGTAATGGTTGGCAAACACCATGTCTGATTTCCAGAAGCAGCCCTCCATTATCGTCCTGATAGAGCAATTCCCATGTAGAGCGAGTGTTGACGCCAGAGCTCTAACTTCGTGCGGGTTGGAGGCTCTTGGAGGATCCAGTCCTGCTGCTTTGTAGGCCCGTAGTATGACAGTTCAGATCCAGATTGATATCGTAGAGGGGAGACCTCCGTCTGTGACGCTGTCGATATCGGGACGAAAAGACACTTGAATTTCCGTCTCCTGGTCTTGGATCTTTGTAGGTAGACTTTCAATGCTCTTACTGGGCACAAGGATAGGTCCTGCGTATCCTGTGGTCCAAGGACTGATGATAGTGCTGGGACGTGGAATTGTCTGTCCGGTTGACCTGGCAGTTGATTCTTTGCGATGAAGTCCTATCTCAGTCCCATATGCACGGTGTTTTGATTTTCATCAAATCATGTTCTCTCGAAGTCCAGAGCATGTATTTCCGACATCCTTGCTGCTGTTGCTAAGGTGATCAGGAACAGCGTCTTCTGCGTCAAGAACTCGAAGGATGTCCTCTCTAATGGTTCGTAGACGTCACTGGTGAGATGTCGTAGAACTACGTTGAGGTCCCATGCCGGAGCTTTGAATCTCTGTTGTTGGTCCTCCAATTTAAAAGAGCATAGTAAGGCCAGTAACTCTGGTACTTTCGTCAGTTTTGCACTCGTCCTCATGGTGATGACTGAGCTCAATGCCGCTAGGTATGTTGAGTGTGTTGACCCTTTTAACCGCTTCGTTTGTCGTAGGTGACAGGCGTCGTAGGCGTAGTTGTAGTCTCCCTCTGGCTGTCATGTCTTGCGCTGACGTGAGGAGACCCAACAGACTCTGCCATTGTCGTAGTGGCCACGGAGAGAGTAGAGCTTGCGAGATCGTCTGTTGTATCTTGAGCCATCGGTCCTCTGGTGCCACTATGCGGTTCTGTGTTGTGATGAACCGGATTCCTAGGAACTGCAGGTCCTGTGTAGGTTCTAGGTCCGACTTGAGGAGATTCACTAGCCACCCCAGTTGTGTAAGCAGTCTGATGGTGAAGTCCAGTTGTAGTCTGAGATGCTTGGGATCTTGATGTACTTGAATCCCGTCGTCTAGGTAGAATGCACTGCGTAGACCTCGATGATGTAGGTATGTGACTATGGGCTTCGTCACCCTTGTAAACAACCAGGGGGGCCGATGATATTTCAAATGGCAGGACCTTCCATTGGTAGTGTCGTCCGTCCAGTATAAACCTCAGGTACTTCCTTGAGTCCGGATGTACAGGAATATGCAGGTAGGCGTCGTGTAGATCTATGCTGGCCATGTAGTCCATCGGACGGACGAGGTGTAGGAGTTGTGGTAGATGTATCATGCTGAACTTTGGTGGTCTGCGTAGATAATCTCTGTTGAAGGCCCTCATGTTGTAGATGAGTCGGAACTTTTCTTTGGAGTTTTTCTTTGGCACTAGGAAAACTGGGGAGTAGAATCCTGGTGAGAGCTGGTCCTGGTCCACCACTTCTATGGCTTCCTTCTCTAGTAGAGATGTGACCGCTTCTCGTAGCCTCTCTGTCCGATGGGTCGTGAAGTTGAACTTCTGAGGTTCGTCTGTCAATGGCGGAGTTGCTTGTAGTTGTATGCGATATCCGTCTCTTAGGATGCTGGATACAAATGGATCTTGAAGAATTCCCCAGTTCTCCCAGTAGTTTTGTAGACGTCCACCCACTTGTGAAGGTTGTACAGGAACGGCTGGGGGTGGAAGACTCCAGTCGTTCCGAACCCCTCCTTCATCGTCTCAGATCCTTGGCGCCTCTGGGTGCCCTGCCTCGTCTGGGTCGTCCTCTATAGTTGCCGGCTGGGCGATGAAAAGAGTCCTTCCCTCCTCTGAAGGTGCTCAATTTCTTGTCTCTTGCCTTCTGGATGCCTGCGAACTTCGACTTGCCCGAGTAGCGCTGGGACGTCTGCCTGATGACACTGGCTAGTGTATCGATGGACTTTATCATGAGGACTTCTCTGGAGTCTTTGGTAACTTCTTTGGCGACGTCGTCAATCTCCCCTGCGAAGATGGATGATGTCGACCATGGGGCTCTGTACAGCGACTTCGTGAAGCGTTCGCTCCAGTTGCAGGATGCCAGTAGTCCTTGTCGTCTCGCCAACGTCAACGCTGCTGAGATGGATGATAGATGGTCCGTCATGAACTGCTGGTCCTTCTTCTGCATGAGTAAAGCAGAGTAGATCATCCGGTCCTCCTCTGCGGTAGAGTCCCTGAACTTGGCGATGAGCGTCTCATTCACTGCCCTGGATCTGTTCAGGCCGAAGAACATCCTTCTGGACATCGTCTCTATCTGCGCCAGCTTTTTGTCGTCAATCTTATAAGAGTTGGTCCGGGCGTCGTTGATGACCTTGTAGTTATCATCGATCTCTTGTGCCTTCATGTAGGGGTCCATATTGTGTAGAGAGAACTTCTTAGCGTTGAACTGTGGAATATTCGGCGCGCCTGGGATTTCGTTGCCTTCCTGAAGGCTGCGTCCAAGTTCTCTGGAACTTCCGAAATGGGATCAATTGGCGGTAGAGTGATCGTGTCGACATCATCGTCCTTCATCAGGTACGTGAGTGCTGCATTCTCTTCCTTAGAGGGTGACGCTCACTCCAGTTCGTTGGCCATCCAATATCTTATCTCTGTGTCCGAGAAGATAATACCGCCTTCGTCCTCTGTTCCAGGGGCGTTGATCTGGGATTGTTGATCATCCTCCGCTGGGGATCTGCGTGGAGGCGAGCGTCTCTTGGTTCGTGAATGCCTCGGCGAATCCCTTGACGATCTGTGAGATGTTGATGACGTCCTTGAGGCTGTCTCCGCAGACCTTTGCGAAGGCCGTTCATCTGAGTCGTAAATGGAAGGCCTCTCCGATGTGTCGTCGGCGGTGGGTCCTTTGTGCAGGTCCGGGTCCTCTCTGTGGGTGGTGTCCAGGGCTGGTTGACGATCTCTTTCCTGCGCGAAGCGCCTCTCCATCAATTCCATTATCTGCTGCGAGAACTGCTGCATGAAAGCCCCGGGGTTGAATGTCTGCGGTGATAGATGAGTTGCCCTCTCTGCGTTGGTAGCGATATGGTCCAGGGATTGCTCATCTGCCGTCAGTATAGATACCTCGGACTGCGTAGATAACTGCGCTGATGTTACCGTTGCTGAGGCCTGCTTCTTCCTGGGGCGATGTATCTCCGGGATGATGAAGCGGCAGCTCATCATAGAGTCCTCTTTCCTCCATCGGGACAATCTCGGCCGAGAAAGTCCTAGTCGTTTGCGCAGACGTCCCCGTAGAGCTGCTCGTCGTCTTAGGGGTGTGTGGCCGTCTCTGCGTAGAGGATGGCTTCTTCTTCTTCGTCTGCGATGAAGGGATGTCCGAAGTGGCAGCCCTCTTCTTCGAAGTGGGGACAATGTCCCACGCCCATCCTCCGAGGACATCTCCGGCGGATCACTGGAAGGAACAGGGACTCAGCCGGCTTATCCATGACTTGAAAAAGTCGCCTGGATTTGTCTTTAGCAAGCCTTAGTACACAGAAAATATATTTATTAAATTCAATATTGGTTAAATGCTGACAAAGGTTGCAGCGAGAGCTGGAAGTACATGTTGTTGTGCAGCTAGGGCACAATAAATGCGGGTCTGCAGCAGAGAACCTAAACCTACAACGAAAACAGGTTTTCATGAAATGTAAACAACTGAACAAACACGGACAAAACCGTGAATAAACAGTGAAAAATACGAATAAATTT